GTCAACAGTTTCTCAATGAAATATTTTATATTTTTATAGTATTTGTATATAGAATAGATTCCTCCACTATATGGATGATAAAGTACAAAAGTTAGTTTTGACCAAGACATCCAAATAACTACTTTTTGCTCTTCACTGATATTTCTTAGAAACGTAATTACTAGTGAAATTGRAATCGTGAGATGGTTTCGGTTAAAGTTTTGTTATATACGATGTGTTTTCTGGAATTGTATAATTTAAGCTATTAATCAACCYAAAGCTGACATTTATTCAATGGTTTCAATTATAGTAGGAAAAATAATTTTGGGAGGTCAGGAGACAATAATACGTTCTATTTTTTCGTTCAAGTACTTTGTTGAAATGCATTAAAATTATTTTTAATTGATATCTAAAAACGTGTTGTACCCAAACACCTCATACTAACAACTATCATAGTTGTCCGTCCATCACGTTTATGTTCAGTATTATTGGCCTCRAATAATGTATTATCTACCCAGTTAATCAATTGTGTTTGTTCAGCTTTAAAAGCTTTGGATATAACATGTTTATTTACTGATGACCGTGTCTGTTATTAGCCATTATTTATGAGCACTCGCTAGTCACAACAATATATAATTATACTAGATAATCAGACAATCGCAGTATCGCAATATACAAATCCAAAACAACTAATTAATTACCTCCATAAAAATGGGATTTAAATGTTTTTACATATATAGCATATTATAGTTGAAGATGAAATACTAATTATTCACCCTTTCAAAAAGATAAACCAAATTGATGAATTAATATTGCAAAAAAATCAGTTAATCATATTAAATAGGTAAAATATTTATAATTGAATTAAACAAAACGACTCCAAGCTCAGCTCGAAAAAAACCTTCAATTGCTGTTATTTTATTCCACATTTACCATTAAAAGTTAAATAATATTATGTTTTATGTTATGATTAAGTGGAAACATTTTGCAGAGTTTGTAGTGCCCATATACTCACATATAAACAAAAATGTTTAGAATAAACACAAATATTTAAAATAAATAAATTATGTTCAAACACACACATTATGTAAAAATGATTCTGACTAGCTTGAAAAACACACAATGAAATSAATGTAACGGGAATATTAAATTATGTTACACAGTTCAGCAAACAATGATAACTTTAAAAACAATTAACAGTACACGTATATTAAAATACCAGAATAGACTGATTGCAATACAAAGACAATTTACTTTTTATATATTACTAGAATAATGTGCTTAAGGTTTAAGCCTTAATTTCTAGCACGGTGTGACTTGTAAGTATTATTTGATGAACTCATATTTGGCATATTATGTATGAAKATATGAATCTATTTTACGACTTACATACCTAGATATATAGTACATCATCAATCATCAAGTTCTAAATCAGCGATTACTGTCAGCSGAGTCAGCTTTTGACTGTTAGAAGCAATTATAACTCATCAATATAATTTTAAATTAAATGTTGTTAAATAGTTATTATCTGTAATTTAACACATGTAATACCTTGAAAACATTTATAATTTCAATTTTTTTTWAAATTCTTATCAAATATAGGTTTTAGACAATGGGTATATACATATCTAAAAATATACAGTCTAATTATGTATAAAATTGTGAACTAAAAACGACAAAGTCTATTTGGTTTAGTGGTATGAAAACTTAAAAAAATTAACACATCACCAAAAAAATTTATCTTCAAATTATCTATGTGTATGAATAACTGCAGCTGTTACCATCATAATAAAAGTATAATATCATCTTCGATACCATAACAATGAATACAACATACAGATTTCAAATATTTAATATAAATAGTGGTACCTAAAAGAAGTAAAGATTTCTGGAGCACTATCGTTTTAGTATAATCAGAGAACCAAAGTGGGTGTAATGAAAAATAGAAACTATATTATATAAATTCCAAGTAAGACATAAAAAAAACATCAAAGTCCAATGACAGAAAACAAAGCTTGTCTATTAAATGAAAATACAAATGTGACAAATATAGCGTGGAGAAATATGAACACGAAATGMCACTAAATAAAAATAACTTTGCATAGATGAGAAATAAAAATCTGAAGGAACGAGAAATTAAATCGAGACATCAATATTCAATATACACTTATAAGAAAATATAGTATCACGCTTGACTTACACTACTGCTTCTTAAAAAATAAATATAAATTTAAAATATATATATCATTTAAAATATCAATTTAAATAATAGGAAATATTCACGATAACAAATAAAATGTGACAGCAGAAAAATACGTAATCTAAATGACTGTTGTAAAATATATTCAGAATATTCATAAAACACAAATCGTTAAATTATTAGTTCAATAAATTTACTGAAAACCACAATATKCTATAAATCTAAAATATTTGCCAAAATATCATAACACACAAGATACACATTATTATTAGTAAAAGTATCTCCATAGTATATACCTAAGTATGGTTTCTAAAAAAAAAAAGATCGTACATTTTATAGAAATATGGTGACGTGATAGCGATGACCCGAAGTAAATKTAAGATATGAAATCTTCGCCAGTAATCTGAACACGGTCTTATCGACCAAAAAATTCCTTATAAATTTATAACCACCAAAAACACACAGCAGTCTTAAATAATCTTCATGAGAGATTTTAGTACTTGATGTCTACAAGAAAATCCATTTTTACATAAAATAAAAACAAATAGGTATACATAGAGAGTTACAACTACTGATTATTTCCATCCAAAAAATAATATTTTGTATCCGTCATTTCGCTCAATATTTTTGTTGCGTAGTGTTAAACGATAAATATTGTAATATATCCCACAAAATACACACATGGAATTTAAAAATAAACATTTTTTTTTTATTATTATTAGAAAAGCGAATATTTACAATCTGTATTCGCAGAAAAAAAATACAATAAGACATAAGACAAGTGCTAAGTATAACATTAATACAAGGCTTGATGACATGATTGAAGAGAGCGTCCAGTAACACTACTTCAGAATGAATTTTTTTTGTTTAATTTATTATTATTTTTTACTCTTGTCAAGGGTTTAGGGAGTCATGTGGCCAATTACATTTTAAGCCATGGGAAGGATTATCCGGGATAGTTAGAGAGGATAAATTAGATATTAGAGGGTTTGGGTGGGTTAACGTATTGAAGTGGAATTTTTTATAATTTGTGGATGTAAGTACAGAAAGTTAGAGTTACAGCAGTTAGAGTCTGCTGAAGAAATGGATAGTTTAACGCTATTTGTTGAACTTTAGTATGAGAACTGTTCACCTCTAGTTATCTTTTTGATGGAGTTACAGAAACAATTTAAATATCGGTAACTACGGGAATGAATATTGATGGTGGTGGCTTAGTCATGGTAGACAGTAGTTTTTACAATATTTTCGGGATCTAAATCCATGTTTTCAGATCGGTTGTCAAGCTCGGTGTTATTTGAAAACAAGGAGTAACGGTTTTTTGAAACAAAAATTTTGTTTTGCTGAACTTGATGACTGAAGAAGTGAATGTTAAACCAATTTTATTTTTGGTTTTAGGCGTGAAGAAATCCGTTGGTTGAGGATTTAGATTGTGAGGTAAAGTTGTGATTCGACACACTCTGTWGACGAAATTTTCGTTTTATTGAAGGGGGGACAGTATTAGATTTTTGCTTATCTATCATGGTTACGACGTCGGTGCGTGTTATCGCGAGTTAACGGTGAAGCCCAATTTGGGCTGGCCATTGTGCGGAGCATTGTGACCATACTAATTAGGTATGAATGTGATAGTATTAGTTGTTACGGTAATAAAATTAGTTACCAAATTTGAGCTGAAGGCGCTCCTTTTTGATGACTTGAAGTTTGGATTACCTAGTCAAAAGGATGACACTTTGTTGATAAAATTGGATGTTTTTTTTTTTTCAACGGACAATAATTTAATAAAGTAATTAATAACAAGTGATTTAACACCGACGCACGRTGTTTCATTATCAACGGCTGTAATCGAACTGACCGAACATTATAAAAAAAAATATATATTTATTTAATATACTTATTAGAGAAGAGTAGAATGATTTAATAGTGTCACTAGAAAGGAATAACTTTAATATAGTAGTGATACAAGAGATACAAATGACGTATCCCAGCAGGAAACTACAACTGGACACAAATAATTTGTGTGCTCTTTTAAAGTGTAAAAACATTATATTTAATTTTACRAAGATTTATCTTAATTTAAAAATGTGTCTTCGTGGTAATTCATTTTAATAGAATTGGCAAAAATTATAAAAATATACATAACTACAAAATTGCATCATTTCACGTGTGATAAGCTATTTTTTCGTTTTATCACAGATCAGTGAATTTTTATTGTTTATTTATATTATTGATATTAACTTTATTTTATTGAATCAAACGGAAAGTTCTATTAAATATAATTTAATGAACGTACAGTATTTATTGTGAAGCCACCAAACGGATAATTATCAAAATATGAGTTGAACACAATTTTAAAATAATAAAATGTCCCATTTTTCAAAGTAATGATTTTGTTCAGAAATGATTAATATTATCTAGCATAAAAAGATTTATGCCTTTGATAATAATATATCACATTATCATACTGGAGGTTTAGCAGGTGAGAACTGTTTATCAAAATATAGCCACTAGGTCCGTCACTATCTATATATTGTTAAGTTATCGACGAACATGAAATTTTCCAAACAGTATATTTCTTAGTTATTATTAGGTCTGGGGAATATTAAAAAAAAAAATACTTGTTGCTGTGGTTAAATATGATATATAATATGGTAACAAAACCATTTAGTGGCGTTAAACTACAATTGTAAGCGATTTGAAACGTTGCCGCACGACTTCCGTTATCTGCGGGTGCAGCGGGATTGGATACCGGAAATGAATCGATGGAAAAACGCCAAAGCACGTATGATCGACCGGTATACAGAGTGTATATCGTAATTCCTATACATTACAGGTTAATCGTTACGGAACATCGGCCAAAATCGACGGCAAAGCTAACAGCTGCCGGCCGAAAGTCCAAAACCCAATATGTACGGTGGACCGTAAGTAAATCTGACCAGTCACCGTGTTGTGCTTGAGCGGTTAAGGATGATAGGCTCATCGGTGATTCAGAATTATTTATACCAAAGGTCAAATAATATTTGAAAAGAGTTGCTACTTGGTCTTCCCGCGGTAAGAGATCGATGATGTAACGTCCGTCGTAGTAGATACCTATATTGTAATATTATAAGAATAAGGCGCTCGCAGAATTATTTCGTTGAACAATGCACCGCAGAATATCATCAAATTTTGTAGGTATTACGGGTGGGTAAGTGGAACGTGCAACGTGCAAATAGTAAACAGTGGCTAACCTGACGTACCGAGACCGTTGTTGCTGTGTACGAGTTGGCCCTCGTCCGGAAAAACATGAATTGCCACCGTCTCTTGATTTGGGCAACGACCTGCGAAGAAAAATCAACATACTGCATGACATATAGTATTTTAATGCAGACCGAGAGCCACTGAAATGGCGGCGGCACAGTGGGAAGAGTCCTCGGATTTGAAAATTCCCCCCACCCCAAAAGCTAAACAGCTAAATTGGCATATTTTTATAAATTACAGAATAATTAATTGTATTATTATTTAAATTTGAAATAAATGTTTCAGTACAAAAAAGTAAAACTTATACTAAGGACTCCCCTCAGTAAAATTCTGATTGCCCTATTGACTGCGTCAGGAAGTACCATTAGCTTATGACTAGGGCAGAGGACATGAAGCATTTGCATATTTGTTTTACACAGTCACAAGAATAGCAGAGTACGGTACAAATAAATTTCATGCTTTCACAAAGCTAGTTTTGAAATTTTATTGTGTWTATAAATGCATATTTTGCGTTTTTTTGGTTTTTAAGGGATATTTTACACTTTTATACGCTATTTTATACCTTTTGAGACATATTTAATTTAAATCGATTTTTTCAACTGTGATATTTTTATTTCAAACAAAACTGTCAACATGTTTGGATAAAAATKTAATTATTTTAATTTTTGTCATACAATATTGTTTTTGACTGTCCACGGACACACATTTTTCGTAGAAGAACGATCTAACGTACACTATGCCTACAACATCACCACCACAGCTTTGTGCGCAYCACGCGGGCTTTTATTCGCTTAGGATTTATTTATAAAACGATTCTAGACATAACAATAATCAATATTTTAGTATTTAGTCTCAGTCAGTTCTGTGGAATGTACATTCATGTTAAAAAAATTTTAAGTGCATAAGTGCTTGCATATTTAGAGCTTTTTTAGAGCTACAAGTCCTCTGTCCTACTTATGATGTAAAATATTTTTTGGACGAACGAATCGTGATGATTTCAAAACGAAATATTGAACGGAAAAGCATACAGATTAACAAGAACTGAGAATACTCGTATTATCTGGTGTTTATAAAAATTCCGCAACATATCTTATATTACCATACTTTTAAAATTATGAAAATTAAAATAAGTTCTATGATTATGATTTATGCTTTTAAATTATAATGTTTAGCGTACATAATATGCGATTCAAAATCCTTGTTTATGGTAGGATGCATTACCTGTTTATGGCGTATATTTTGAATACATGTTATCCATTATATCTCACTCGGATCGAAACGAACGTATGTTTGTAATAAATCATTTTTATTTTCTTATTTGAAATATTTGTTGTGCAATTAGATTTAATCCAAAATAAAACACACGGTTTAACCATAATGTGGCATGTTAAAACTTTCTTTTAACATAACATATTAAAATATATAACCATATATATTAAAAGAAAAACACTTWAAAAAAATGGATAATGTTTTTCTATCAGTAATTTCTTTGGCAACAATCTTTTATCTAAGAATTTTCAATTTTGCACTTTTCATATAATATTTACAAAATGTACATACCTCTCCGTTTAGAAAGCAAAATAACGTTGCAACACAAAGTCCCTGAAAAAAAAAGTAAACACTTTATGAACTTAAAATGGTTAATTAAATTATTATTATAACTATAAAATGTTAAAAGAAAAATGAGATATTAAGTATGGTATATTAATTATAAAAAACTTTAATACAATTGTATATAGTGCAGTTATAATCTGTGTACCTTCTACAGTATAAATAATATTTTTTTTCAATTTAATAT